ACATCGTTATTGTTGTTATAATTTATGAATTCGCAACTTAAAACTCCAACGCAAAGAGAAACTTGTGCAAAACACATCATAATACCGTTAGATCAGTGAATGATAGTATTTTATTTATTGTAATTAACGATTACTTTTTCGTTTATAATTTATTGTACGTTTTATCGTTTTAATTAATTGCGACATAAAACGTCACCGTGAAGAATTAGTAAATTGTTGTTTTATGCAAGTTAATGAACATTTGAAAAGCCGATGTAAAGATTTCTATGGTTTTTGTTGTGTCGGATTATTGTTATGTTCGACAACTTTCGCGGCATTTAGTTGAGCGTCACTCGTCACTAAGTTAACATTAAGTGACTGACTTACTATTTACTTTTGGCATTCACAATTTCTCGTAAACACTAATGTTTGGTCAAATAATGTTTATGTTCGTAACATAAATAGTTTTATATGCAAATGTGTACGCATATATTTAAGAATATGTAGTATTATTAATTGTTTACACGCCTTGGCTTCCACTGGGTTCAAATACTCAAAATGATTAGAAAATAACGCAAGGTATTTTTTTTGTAAGTGGAATGTTAACCGAGCTGATGCTGACGCTCCACAAGCCTTGTCTATATACATGAACAGCACCACGGATATCACATTAGCATGTAACGCTTATAGCGTTGCCATTCCGGAAGGCTGTTATGCCTCCGTATCCTGTAATTTCACTGCCATATCTCACTCACCAACTGAAACGGTTTTGCGGCTGACTGAAATGTATGAAGTAGACGACTTTGTACAACGTCTACCTCTAGTATATTTCAGTGAAAATAGGCTATAGGAGAAAGACATACTGTGGTGTGATTAAATGTATTTTTTTTTAATTAGTTTATAACGCTTGCACCGATATTGAGAGGATACGAACAAAATTAAAAGATTGAAAATAAAACTAAGTACAAATGACAGTCTAATCGCTAATGCAATCTCTTCCAGAAAATATTTGGTATTTTATAGTGTTTCTTAGAGTCGTTACTTAAATTCAAAGAACATTGTAACTGGATGCAGGTTTTTTACTCCAAGGCGTACCAAATGACGTTACAATGTATGCTACTTAATGGTAGCAAAAACTCTCGATTGCAATGCACTAATCGATGTATCGATAAAAAGTGGTAACACACATTGCGACCACATAATTGACAACACCGCACCGTACCGTTTGACACATGTTCCTGTGCAATTAATTCCACATCAGCTAGTGTTGGCCCCGTGGTCAAAACTACATTATTATTAACTTCATTTTTAACATTTAAAGAATGGGATTCTGAGAGTCGCGAGTTCGAATAAAACATTATTGTATATCAAATTACATTTCAGACTGTCTCTCAGGTGATAGAAAAAGCCTCGATGTATTGAGAGATGGGACATTAGATCTATAGAGAACATTGAATTCAAAAATACCAAGAAATGCATGCTAAGTTCACCTCCACTTCGATTCTTGATAATGATTGAGATAAATGAGACCATATAATATAACAGTCATATTTATTTAATCTCACATGTGAATCAATGTTACTTTTGCAAAGTCTCTGAAGCATAATTGCCGCTAAGAAATGATAAACATATTGAGAAACTATTATAACTAATTTAATATATCTATAAATATAACATACTAAAAACAGGGCCCGTTTTTTACTTTGTAATCATCAAATATCATCTAGTAATAATATGTCATATACTAGCTTTTATATATCCTTAGATCAATGTATGCTTGTCCAATTTTATTTTCACAGTTTCCGGCTCTAAATTTAAGAACGTAATAAATCCCGAAACTTCAGTAATATTATAGCAATGTAATTAATAAATGTCACTTTCTGATTTAACGCTTAACCTACTCCCCTATATGAAAAACAATCCCTTTTATGATTTAAAAAACAATGAACGTTTGTTTAGCTCAGTGTTAATTTTCTTCGTGACTTATTTCGTAATTAGCGTGTACTGTACTACAGAAAATACTTCCTCTTATTAAATGCTCTGAAATATAATACGAACAAACAAACATAAAGAATGAGCAATTTTACAATGTTATTTATTTATTAACTTATAATAATGCATGGAGTCAACGTAATTTCCTTTCCTTTTAAATAAAAATTAACTTATGATAGCATTACAACATTATATAATTTTATGTCCAATCTTTGAATTCTAATAATAACAGTTTTATTATTCATTAATGAATCCCCTCTGTTTACTGTTTATTTTTATTTAACGTATCTAACGTTAAATAAAAATAATTAAAAATATTGAGAAAACGATTATCGCTGAGATATATTTTTTTTTAAGAAAAAGATTTTGTGCTGATTAGCTAGCAAGAATACAGATCTTTTGTTGCTGGAAATCTGCTAAGTTAAGAAAACAGTAAAAAAAAATTATACACTTTAATTAAAGTTCCTGCAAATCTCACAAGCGACTAACTATAAATATTACTAATCCTAATAACCTATTCTGCAAAGGGTAAAATGAAGGTCGGCGTCAAATTATGTGTAGTGAATTATACAGGACGTCGTAAAGGCATCGGTGTGCGTCTGTCTGTCCGTCTGGAGTAATCATACACTTCCTACGGATATGCTAATAGGGTTTGGTAGCACGCTAACCCTAGCCACCCCTAGCCTTCACCTGACAAGTGGATTCGGCCGTCCTCGTTTTAATTTTAGATTAGATATAACCATGCAGCATTTGGTCTAAGGCCAAGTTACAGTCTGTTATCGAGTAACCTGAATCACAAATTATCTAAAGTTTTACAAGTTAATTTTTTATGTAATTGGACCCACAGGATATCGATTCAGATATATATATCTGACTACCTATATATATGAGTCTATATGAGGTACCACTATTTATACAAAGTAATAATAATAATCTCAGGACAATTCACACAGCGCCATCTAGACCTAAGTTAAGCTAGGTAAAGCTTGTGTTATGAGTACTAGATAACTGATACAAATACATACAGATTATACATAGAAAACACCCTGACCGATACAAAAATTCATACTCATGAATACAAATGTTTGTGTCGTGCGAGGAATCGAACCCGCGACCATCGGTTGCAAAGCGGTGTGCTAGACCGCTAGACCACCGAGGTCATCAGAAAATGAAGTAGTTATTTAATCAAATTAAAAAATCAATTTACATATAATAAAAACCTATTAACACAATAATTTAAATTAATAAAATTGATAAGTATATATTTAAGAGATATTAATTGAATAATACATATATATATATTGAAACAATTTGTGTTAAGGATAATACTCATAAATGCACAATACGGAAAACTGGTTTTCAAAAATAGATGACATATCTGTAACAATACCAATATTGCCTATAAATTCAATAATTTAGATTTCTACGAATTTATATAAACCTCACTGATGTTTTATGTGAGCATCGCATTAATTTGGTGTTTGCTAAATAACATTATATTAAAACGGAATACATTAATGAAGAAGTTATTTTTAAAATATTCTTTAATTTTTATTTTATGAATATTAATTGTTCCGTCGTAAATTTATAATATGAATATCTATATATAAAGACATAATTAGTATACTACAGACGACTGAATGCAAATGATGTAATAATAACTATTTGTCAATCTAAGTAGTAAACTCTTAGTAAATCTGCACTAACATGTATCTTGATTTATCAAATGTAGTCTATTACATATCTCAGTAAGGAGAAAATGCAAAATCAACACAATATTATGCAAACTGATATTGTTTTTGGAAAAACAATCTTTCTCTTCAGGCTATTTGTGTTAACATAAAATTTTAATGTCAATCCTAATATGTACGAGAATATCGTACATATTACCAGGTATATCTTATTTTACCTGACAATCGATAATCGACACTACAGAACATCTGTATAAAAATCTGAGTAATTTGTATATTTTACGTTGCACCCTTAGACGGTCACGGCCTGGTTCCCCGTATTATGTTAAAATAAGTGTGTATTTAAAATTTATCTAGGGCACATTGCTAGCAGCCTGTTAAATATTCGTTTCGGGTGACGTTGCGTGCTTTTTGATTTTATTACGGCTCGTATTACCATTTCGCATGTTGGGCTCACAATTTTATCACCGTAACCATTTCTGTTGTCTGTTACGCTATAAATATTCGCATTATTTATGCAATTTTGAATGCTGGATTACAATTTCTATACATATTGCAAACAATCATATAAGTTAAGACATTTCAATATTTGGTATATTTTTATTTACTACGAAGGTAATTGAGCATACGACCTGCACAATAGTAAGAGACTGACGCAGCCAATTAATACAGTAACATGATAGACAGATATGTCTAATAATTACAGATTTTTTAATATCTTGTTTTAAAATAGTCAAAACATACGTTAGTACGAATATTTTCAAATAAAATTAATTAATATTCCATTAACGTATACTTTTAATCAAAAGTTACAATATTTATTAAGAGCACTCTATAACTTCTAGCTTTCAGCCCTCAACTGAAATCGTCAAAGAATATGCCGCGTGACCGCATTATCGATGGTAAAGTTCAACGTACTCCTTTCAAGTAACAAATTCCCTTTGCCAAATTTATAAAAAAAAACCATCATTATATACATCATTATGATATAAGTTAATTATATCGGAAATACATAAATTATATTATGAGATTAACTAAATAAATATGTAAAATTATTTATAAAGAGCTATTTAAAGTAGAACAAATAATAATCTGAATATATTTTCTAAAAATTAATTAAGCAGATTATGTTAATTATTTTTATGATATATGAAATAGATATATAGAGACATTCATTTTAACACAACTAGCGACACTAACAGATGCATTAATTAATTAATTTAATTTAACGGTTTATCTCCGCAGATGTGATTTACGCCTTGACCTTTCACAAAACAAAGACGTGTGATGTCTCCCGAGAACTGAAACAGCATCCGCAACTGAAAAGTTACAGCTTACCTGTTTTTTCCATGACCGATTTTGTAGAGCTCGACGTGCTTGAACTGGGCGTAGGTGGCCATTGTTGGTAGATTAGTTTTTTAAACACGAAGATTATAACACTCGAAAGCGGGCACTGCGCGGATCCGACGCGGCGGATGATCAGGTAGTGTCTACAGAACGACAACCGTCAGCTGACTGAGCGCGCGCGGGCCAGTACCCTCGCTTAAGTCGATGCTGCACCCTCCGCCCGCGCGAGAAAAGTAAACCGCGCATGCGCCAGTCGCTTCCGCTTCTCTCGTTGTTTTTTTTACAGCAACACCTGGGGTACGTTCCTGTGTCTAACACACGCTCCTGGCGTACCATATGGCAAATGTCAACATATGGGTGAAAACAGGTAACAAACTAAACGTCAGGATTAACTAAATTCGATATGCGCCGGTAGACGCTACCTAAGAAGCCAAACTGTCCATTGCTGTTCCTGCCAGCAGGATACACAAAACATTGTAGTTTTATTAGATCTCTAGTAGCCCGCCCCGTATGCGCCCGGGTGCTAAAAACTATGTGAGTTTTATATATATATTATATATACGCCTATGCGACTCTAGATTGTACTTTTCAAACAGTAAAATAATGTTTAATATAAGCCGATTAGTTTTTGAGTTTGTATATTACAAACATAGAAACAGTCCATTTTATAATATTAGTATATATTATTGCAACCATTAAAAACGTGAGAGGAATGCCATAATACTATGATAAAATACAATCTTATGTAAAATTATGATGTCGCCGGAGAAACAAGATAAGTGCCATCGCTGCAGCTAAGAATAAGCTAAGAATCGCCTACCATATCAATTGATGCACTTAGCTGTAAATAACAGGAATATTTATTGATATAAAAAACGTTGTTAGAACGTTCCTAAGATTCTTTCGACGTGGAAGCTTGCAATAATTATAATTGAACCTATGTACACAAAAACTTGACTAACAAACTGACGCACGCAATATTAACTACTTACCATTACAATATACCTATAATACAAAATATTATATAATATTAACGTTTAGAACCTAGACAGTCACTTTGCCACGCACGGCCTCTATTCCGTATTTTGGTAATAAATATTGTATTTCTAATGTAGCGTTTCTAGTTTCAATTATAGTTTTGAAATATCTAAACTTTTTTTTATGAAAAAGTAATTCAAAATAGAGAGAATATAAAAGAATTGTTCATAAAAATAGTTTTCCGGGAATGCGTTATTTAAATAACATTTCATATATTTCTTTATACTTTATTGCACCAATATAGAATAATAAAACTAAGTATATATACTAATACACTACTTTGTACCTATATATATAAATAATATACTACTTTGTTTTGTCTGTAGATTGCCTATTAATTTTATTGAACCTCTCGAATTTGAACTTGAATTGAATTAAAATCGTAAGGACTTTCTTTAGATTTTGTTCACTTTTTTAAAATAAACTATATAAGATGGACATCCATCCTCATAACACAATCTACCTTCAAATCTTATAATCCGTTCAGCCGTTTAGACAGAAACACCTTTGCATTTAAAATATTATAATACTATGGTTGATACTCCCTAATATCATTAATGGGTTTAAAAAAAAAAAATCTTACACACACCAATATAAAGTGCAATTTCTATATATTATTGAATCATAATTAACACTGACAACCGGTGTCATAGAAACTTGCAACGCATCGCTGCAATAATATTACAACAGCATAACGGCGTCGCTGAATTTAGCGCTGCGACACCGCACCGCACCGCTTTTATGTTTGTAGACCCATATAGTATGTCCACTCAAGCGATTAACCGTAAACATCCGCTAATGTTAGCCAGCAACCATCCATCTGCACAACGACTAATGTCAAACACGAGAGAGCTTCCCTATTTCAACACTAACCCATTACATAAAGCAGTTTCTAGAACGCCGAATTGCATTCCAATGTTGCTTGTCGACATTCAGCTTTATTTCGTTAAAAGTAAAAAATATTGGAATGGGATTTTTTTATTTAACTGGAACTGCTAACAAGGAGTCCAACTGGAAAGTGGCAGCCATCGTCTATAGGTATAAACAATAGTACCATTGACATGACACAATTTGCAATGCTCAAGAATAGCATAGGTTATAATATATATATATAATTATATATATATTATATCTTAGGTCTCAAAAATAGCAACATGTGGGGTATAATTAATTATGTTGCTATTCTTGGGACCTAAGATATCATGTCACTATGCCCTATAATTTCACTGCTATGACACCAAAATTCAAACTGCAATACAGCTTACAAAAAATACTACTTGGCTACATACAAAAATGAGGCAGAGGTATGCAAGTGACTCTACAAAGTTTCGCGCGGCATTTCTCTCTTGTATTTCGTTTTCCATTGGTCATTTGATATGGACATTTATTTCACCTCTCTGTATAGACTAGACAAGATTACTGGGTAAGCCGGTATCTAGGTCAGAAAAGTTCCAGGAACCAATGATAGATGTGCATTCTCATGGGGCAATTCATGACCAAATCGAATATTACCGATATGCAATTTAAATACCTATCTGAACTTTCCCATGAACAACGCCAAATTAAAACTCAAAATGTATTTTTATTATCATTGAGCGTAGAGTTCTGTAAAAAGAGGCATTAATTTGGAATGAGGAAAGAGCAAATTGCATTTACATATATCTGAAACGCCCTATCGTTATCTGTTACTTTCACTAGCTTTACACTTAACATTATGCCTGGTTTCACACGTTTGAAACCTTTCATGTTAACGTTGTGTCTGTAATTAATGTTGACGGTTGATCTTTGTCTATTGTGTGTTAGGTTTATAATACTAGATACTGCCATTCCTAATGCCACATATAAATTCAAAACGATAATAGGGGATAAGGCAGATTATTTTTATATAGCGATGATGTAGAAGCAAGTTCATAAATATAAATATATATGCCAGTTGATAGAGATCACTCTAGGCACGCAGAAGCATGTTCTAAGCTATTTTCAAATTTTGCAATGACCTATAAAATATAAACAAACAAACTCGGAAACGATATAACCAATTATTTGCACGTAATTTGGTCTAACTCAAAAAGTAGCATAATTTGTTATTTTGATAAGTACCTAGCTGAAGTAACCATACTTCAGTTCTCGAAATTTACTAAACATTATTAATATATGTATATAGTAAAATACCTATAAAAATACCTTATATAATAATTATCTTAATCATCATCATTGTTTTCATCTTGTCTTTACCCATTATTTGTGGTTAGCGCAGCATGTCGTCTTCTTCCACTTATCACGATCAACCGTCATATCTGAAGTTATAATAATTTCATTTTATAATTTTTTTTCGTTTGTCCTCTCCATTTACTTTCATATTAAGTATATAAGAAACATGCCTTACCTCCTAAATTAAGAAAATGTGTTATAAAATAAGATTGGTAAGATATTGACCACTTTAAAGGGTTACACACAACTATATTGTTACCCGCTGACAGTGTATCTCCATAAAATTGAATTTGTGTTCCCTATTACGACACCTTATCACTGCAATTTCTCCCAAGCAACCGAAGGACTAGTTAAATATATACTATGGAAATTTGTGCAACAAAGTTTACATGAAATATTATAAACAAAATCTTAAATAAATATCTATGAACACTTTTGTGTCTATAAAAGATTTTTTATTAGAAACTACTTTACGAAAGCATATTTTGTACAATGTCGTACCGCATAGGTACCTGTGTCTCACCTATTTTAACTACCAAACAAATATGGCTGCTAGGTAACACATATTATTTTGATTTCAAAACCAAATATAACGGTTTATAAAAGACATAGTTCTTAGCAAACAAAAAAATACAACCTAAATGAGAACCTTTTATAAGTAGACTAAAAAAGTTTGTAGTTTGCATTGACTAATGGAAGGTGAGCTGTGACTAGCTGTGATTTACCGATATTTGGTTTTTAAAATTTAGTTTCATCTTGCACTATTTTATAACTACATACGTACGGGCGAGGCGAGACCCTGTAACGGATACGTACTCAACTTGAAGAAGACTGTCGGATGTAGTAGAAAAAATTTTTGCGAAAGACAAAAACATGGTCAGTACATTAAATTCCCGTAAATAGTATCCTATTTTTGTTTCCTGTCACGTAACAATTTTATTTGCCTGCACCATTACACTATACGGGTAAATTAATGCAATAATTAACAAACATATAAATGGGTTGTCCATTAGTTATAATAAACATATCTAATAATAAAATTAATACTGTTGATTTTCGTATAGGTATTTATAATTACATAAATATATTGTATTAACCATTTTAGTGATGTTTCCAACAGGCAAAATAAGACACAAAATCTAAATATTTCACCTAGTTAATGACCTCGACAGTACGTTTAAAACACTGACTCATCATCAAATCAGGTCATATCAGTGCTGTACAGTACGAGTTTTTACTATTTTGACTACTAGAATATTTTGACTATTAGAAATTATTATGACTGAGATGCCGGATATCGGATAAGAAGCTCTTGGTCTAATTATATTTTCAAATCAGACTAACTGTGCTCGCGGTTATATCCATGTAAAATTTATAGCCTATGTGTTATTTTGATATATATGCAATATTATTATAAAGTTTCATTAAATTCCATTCAGTACTGTTTGCGTGAAAGAGTAACAAATATCCATCCATCCATCCATCTATACTCACAAACTGCCGTGTTTATTAGTAATTATATTAAGATAAGTACACTTCGCTTCTTGGTTCTGGTATTGCAATCCTTCATAGTCCCCGGTCAGATAAATGTATCCTTGATTGCCTATCATCGTTACTTATCTCCAGTAATCCTTACTAATCCTGACTAGACCGACAGTATTATAAATGTGAAAGTAGATCAGTTTTTTGCAGTATCAATGGGCCTAATCTTAGCAGAGCTTGTAGTATGAGTACATACATTACAGACATACCCATGTGTAACAGCTGTGACCTGAATTCGTACACGTTTTTTTTTGTCTACATGTTTGTACCTAAAACAATATAACATAAATGGAATAAAACAAAACCAATTTCAGTAAAACCCGTTGGTACTAACCGCGATCAAATCGATTAAGCCGTTTCTGAGATTAGCGAACACAAACCCACAGAAAAGTTTTCA